CAATTATAATATAAGATTTTTATGTAGGTGTAAGGTTCAAAAATAAAATATTCCATGTAAAAAATATTACTATAAAAGAAAATAAAATAAACAATAAACAATAAAAAGAAAAAAGTAGAAAATAATGGAAAGTTTTAATTTTGACAAATTCTAAAAGTAAAGGGTCCCTAATGCAAATTAGAAAGTTTATTTGAAAAAGAAAAAGGAATGTCACTACAAAAAGCACGTGAATATAAGGTTTGTAGAGGGGAGGGTGGGCCGAATAATAGAACCTTATTTAGAGTTGTGTAATTTTCAATGTAATACAGTCACTTTTTTTTAATACTAAAGCATTACATGCATTGGATATATTTTTCAGTGTGTTAAGAGAATATGTTTTTTTATTGGTTAGAATTCTGAAAAAGTTTTATAAAATTTAAAACTAAAAAATCTGTACAAACTTGTAATTATTAAAAGGATACAGTTATACAAAAGGGGTATTAATAACGTATCCTAAAATTTATTCTACAAATAATATATATAATCAAAAAATTAGTTTTATTTATGTTGAGACACGTATTGACAGTGCTTTTAAAGTTAATGGGCCTGACCCGACGCAACGCGAGCAACAACAACAACCAGTTATTGGTTTAAAGCTGAATGGCAGAACTGAGAAGGAAGTACAAAGGGCTAAATTTGTAATTTTAGCATCGAATAGGCACTTTTTTCTGTTGATTCTCCCAAAGAGGAAACGGAAACAGAGAGCAAGAAGAAAAAATGGTTTGTTTAGAACAGAAAACAGTGACCCGAAAAGGAGCGATAATATTCACATATGTAATTGAAGGTACTAAACATTTAGCACAAAGTACCACCTGTTAGCCTTGCTTCACCCTAAACCGCAACAAAAATCCAATCTTGATCCCTCCAAAACTTTCTTGTCAATAAGCTAATCATCAGCTGGAGGCACCAAGAGTCTTGTCAAAATACCAGTACTTCCCTTTTACTTTCTCTCTCTATATATCTGATTTTTTCTTTGATTTTCGTGTATGTATGTATGTATGTATGTATGTGTGTGTGTCTGCCTCTCTTTGTTGTTATATATAATCATATATTGAAACTTTTTAATTAAAAGTACTGTGTATTGGACCCACAAAAAGACGATGATTGAGCTCGACAACAACTAGCAAAAGAGGGCAGCATCACCTACCACCCAAAGACTATGGAGATGGGTGGTTCGAGTGGTTCTTCGGAGTCGCAACTGCTCAAAATTGGTTTGCAATTTGGGAAAGAAATCTATTTTGAGGATGTGGGAGTTGGAGCTCAGGTTAAATCCGATGATGGGTTGTCTCCGGCGAGCGGCGGCGATGGTGCTGGAGGGCCGCAGAAGAAAGGGAGGACTGGTGGTGGGGTGGTGAGTGGTTTTGGACAACAGCAACCACCGAGGTGTCAGGTGGAAGGTTGTAATCTGGATCTGAGTGATGCTAAGAGTTACTATTCAAGGCACAAAGTGTGTGGTGCTCATTCGAAAACGGCTAAGGTCATTGTTAATGGCCTTGAACAGAGATTCTGCCAACAGTGCAGCAGGTCAACTCGCAAACCCTCTTTCGGTTATTATTATTATTTTTGTATTTTGTATTCTCTTATCTTTTTAGAGCTTTCTCTATAACAGGAAAGTTAAGGTAAATTTGTTGTTGCCTAAAATAAGAAACCGATCAATAGGAAGGAAGAAACATTATGTGTTGTCATGTTGATTGCTAATGAGAATGTTTTTGTCCACTATATACATTTTGTGATTGGGTGTTGCTAAGATGAAGATGTTAATTGTAGGTTACAAAAAAGCAATATATGAGAGCTACTCCCTTAAAAGCAAAAACCTTTCTATTTTAGGTTGCCAGAAATTGCTAAACGCTAACATTCTTATTTAGGAAATATGCCTTTTCCAAATTTACCTATTTGATTATTGGTAATAATTGATTGTGATCCATTAGGTCTCTCAAACCTGTGTTATTAGGGGATGGGTATTTAAGGTATTTGATCATTAGTCAAAAAAAGATATATATTTGTTTAGGAAGGATCTAATGCCAAGAATTAAGATACTAGATCTTAAAAAGCATATGTAGCTAATCTTGTTGGTGATTTTGGTTTATTATTAGGGTTTTTAAGGTTCTATTCAATATGACCATAAGACATTGTATGCTTTATGTTTGTTTTGATCTTTAGGCACCAAGTTTGGCTATCCATCTTTATAATAATTAAAAAAAAAAAGTGAATGGTAGACTAGATATACAATGCAAGTACAATAACTTAGTACATAAGAAAAAAAAAGTTGCATGAAGGTGGGATAAATGAAAAAGTACATTCCTTTTCTATGACCTTAACCCTTTGATGATCATGCCACCTAGACGCCATGTCAGCAAAACTTACGAATCAAACAAGTTAATGAGTGAAGTGAGTAGAATGCATTTTGCAAGTACATTGACTTTAGTAAGTACAAAAAAAATAATAAATAAAATAAAATAATCGGTGGGAGTAATGAAAAGGTATGTTCCTATGCTATTACCTTAACCCTTTGATGATGTGTCAAATGCATGCCACCTAGATGCCATGTCAGCCAAACTTACGAATTAAAGAAGTGAACAAGTTAACGAGTGACCTAAGTGGGGATAAATGAAAAAGTACATTGCTATTTCTATAACTTCAGCCCTTTTCCCCCATTTTTTGGAGTTCCTTTTTTCAAGCACTCATCATATGAGAACATAAAACTTGTATGCAATCTTCTCCAAGAGGTTATGAAGAAGTTTTCATTCTCCTTTCTTCTCCATCCATTTGCATTATCATGTGTACTCTATGCATGAACAATAGTACATTATAAGTACTAAACAAAAAAAAATGGCTTCAAATAATTTATTATCAGGTTCCATCAACTACCAGAGTTTGACCAGGGAAAAAGAAGCTGCAGGAGACGATTGGCTGGGCACAATGAACGTAGAAGAAAGCCATCTCTGCTATCCACTCGCTATGGAACTGTCTCCTCCTCAATCTTTGGTTTGATATTCTTTTAATTCTTTTCAACTTTCAATTTTAATCCATTGTTGTTGTACAACTTTTTTATGTTGACATATTGTGGACATGTGGTAGGTTTATTGAAACAGTTTCATTAAATAATAACCGAGTTTCAGTTTTGTTTCAATGTCGTAACATTAAAAGAAGTTAAGAACAGTAACATTAAAATTCCATTTGTTTGCCTTCTAATGGTACTTTTTTTTTGAAAAAAAAAAAAAAAACAATGGTGTTTTGTGAAAAAAATAGCATTGTCCCATGTTATGTACGTTTTTTTTTTTTTTCTATAACTTGTTACTAATGGTTTAAAGGTGGAATGACAGAAAACAATGGGAATTCTGGAGGCTTTCTAATGGACTTTTCTTCATGCTCAAGAGGAAGGATTCAGTGGCCAGGAACAAGGGTGGCACCACCGCCTCGAGCCGCCATCGACCTCCCAATTGCCGGAGAAAAGTTCCCACCGCTTCCATGGCAAAGCAACCTGGATAATCCACCTCCTTATGTTCCACCAGGAGGGTGTTTTAATGGAGTCCATGACGACTCCAACTGTGCTCTCTCTCTTCTGTCAAATCACTCATCTGGCTCAAGGAACCAATCCCTGAGCCATGAGTACTATATCAACCCTGAAGCTGGTGCACATGTGCACCAGCTTCATCAACCAACAACTGGTTCCGGAACCATGGTTGAGGTTCACTACTCAACCACCACCACTGATTGGGTTTACGAGACCCATGATGCCCATTTGGGTTTGGGTCACGTCCCACAGTCTGGTGGTGGCTACTCTGGTGAGGTTGGACTTGGTCAACATGGTGGGGGAAGGCGATATGACTCATCTGTTGACCACATTGACTGGTCACTTTGAGTGATGTGTATCATTAGACTATGTTATGTAAAACGTTTCAACTCTGACCTGTTTATTTGTTTTGTTTTGTTTGTGTTGGGACATGATCATGACTAGCATGTATGATGTGTTGTAGTTGAAACTGATGAATGGGGCCTTTGGCTTTTGTCTAAATAAGAAGGAAATGTTTCCTGGGTTTGGATATTCGGTTTTTTATTTTTTATTTATTTATTTTTTTTTTTTTATGTAAATTTGTGCTAAATGGGGACCAGATTAGATCGGTTGTACCAATTCAAACATTTTTGTCTCAAAACTGAATAAGGACCGACTCTGTTAAAAACCGGTACGGACTAATTCAAAATCTGATTTTGTGCATCTCTATTGTAAGTTATGTGATACAAGTTGTTTATTATTAGCAATTCAATTCAACTCAATCTAGGATAATAAGAAATATAAAAAAAGTTATTTCATTTAAAATGGAACTAACCATTGTTAATTGTTTGTTATCTATTTTTTCAGATTATAATATTTTATCATTTTCTTTACATGTATAGAATAAATATGCAAATTTTAATTTTTTTTTATTTAATTTATACAGTATATCTTACAATAAATTGGTTTTCCTAAAATAAATAAAATAAATCAACTAATCATAATCAATGTTTGACATGTAAGCCAACCAAAGGTTGGCCAAGTTAGGTCTCAACTAATATTTTAAAAATCGGTTTTTTAGTTGAACCGTTCAGATGATCGATTTTCGGTTCAACTAGTTTAACCGTCAGTCTACATGTAGCAGTGGTGTGTATTGGTGGTACACTTCGAATAACCTGATCATTTAAGCCATTCAATTTTCTTTGAAAATTGACTATTTTTTTAATGGGTCAAGTAAAACCTAGCCATCAAAGTCCAATAAACCGGATCAAAATGGTTTTTGACCGGTTCTATGACATAGGTTCAACCCGGTTTTTGGAGAAACCGGCCAGTTCGATCCGTTTTAGAAATTCACATAAAAACTGATAGTTGTTGAACCGCTCTCGTTCCCGTTCCAGCCAGTTCAAACTGATTTTTATAACATTGGTCACAACATTATGTAAAAATATGTATTTTTTTTCTTAATTTATTGTGTTTTTTATAGTAAAGAGAGGTAAAGTATTGAATTGAAATAGAAAACACAAATTAAGAGAAAGAACATACTAAGATCTCTTTAATGCAAACTTTTTTTATAGCTAAATGTTATTTGGTTGATCATTTATATGCATGGGAGAGTATGTTTTTTTGTTATTGACCACTCAATAATCAATATAATAATATGTTTTGCACACTTAACATTTTATTCTTTAATCATGTTTTATTTTTACCTCTTTAATTATATTTTAGTTTTAAATCTTTTTTATTTTGTAACTAGCTAATTATTTCTATCATAGTTTTTCATTTATGAAATGTTTATATAAATATCTAATTGTAATATTTATTTAAAATACTTCGTATTAAAACATGACATGTTTAATAAACGACTAAATATTATACTCATTAAAAAAAGTAAGGTGACAAAAATTTTAAATTATAATAGATGAGACTCAATAAGTTATATTCATTAAAAAAAGACTATTGAAAGAGTTGTACCATTGCAAATATCGATAAACTTAATAGAATAATAAAGTGACAAAAATATTAAATTATAATATGAAAGAGTTGTACCGTTGCAAATATCATTTAATTAGAAGACAAACTTAATAGAATAATAAAGTGACAAAAATATTAAATTATAATATAAGTTTACTATTAGACATGCTCTAAGAACAATTTATTTGAATCAACAAATATTGTTTAAATAGGTTATATAATCATAATAAATTAATAAACACTTTAAATAAGTAATCTTAAAAAATAGGGATGAAAAAAAAAACCCATACATGATGGGAAACCCGAAATTCGTAATTGGTTTGACCGGGGAATCCCCAAGTTGACTGAGGATGAGGCTAGGAACAAGAAATCCCCAAATAAAAAATTAAGGTTACGGATACCCCTAGTCTCTTACCCTGAACCCGACCACGATAAATATTAATATATATATAAAAGTAATACAAAACAGAAATTTAAAATACATAAAATTTGATCCAAGTAACCAACTCATTAATAATTATTTGGTTAAGTTTATATTGCTCTTTATTCATTTATCTAATTTAACCTCGTGTATAGTTTTTTCCAATGTTTTGAAAACCGGTTTGAATCGGTTGGACCAAGAACCGGGGGAGGGAGCGGTTCAACTATCACTGGTTTTTACATTGATTTCTGAGCCGGATTGAACCGGCCGGTTTTTAGAAAAATCCGGTTGAACCGGTCAAAATAAACCGGTTGAACCGGTTAAACCGAATAAAAACACATGAAAAAGAATCATTTACATAATAATCTTTGGTGATTTTTTTTCAGTTCTATTTAGTTTTTTCTAAATAAAAACATATGGTAAATGTTATAAAGGTTTTTGCTGTTGTTGTATTCATCTAAAACTATATTTCGTTTTGGTATTAAATTTGATTTTCTTTTTGGCGTATATGGATTGATGTAAAACACTAAAACTTATGGTTATATGTTATTTTAGTGTATTTGGATTCATTTACAACTTATTTTTATGTGTATTTTTAATGTTTGAACTTGTAAACATCAAATTCATAATTTGTATATGTATGTATGTGTAGGAAAATAGAAAAAAAATATGAAAAATATAAAAACCGGTTCACTCGGCGGTCGAACCGGTTAAACCGGTTGAACAGGGAACCGGTCACCATACCGGTTCAACTAAAAAATCGATTTTTAAAACATTGGTTTTTTCTCCTTAATATACTATTGTTTCCTCAAATATCAGATAGTTTTTTTTCTACTTGATTTTCCATATATGTATTTGATAGAAAAATCGTTTATAATTTTTATGCAACCTATGAATATCTTTATGTTTTGTAAAATATTTAAACTTATGTTGGTAAAATTGCAATTTATAGTTTTTTCTTTATGTGAAAATTTTCATATTAAAATAGAAAATAAATTTCCAATTCCACGTTGGGATCCCTAGTCCCTATTGGGGAGTGAGGATGATGATTCTTTTATACTTCTCTATGGGGATGAGCGTGAGGATTGGGGTCCTGATATTTCTCGACCCCGTTTCCATCTCTATTAATAAAAATGTAGACAAAATTGCAAAAATGGTCAATATGTTGTCAAAATTATGTGGTATTGGTCCAAAAAAATTTAATGGTGCATCAGTGGTCAAATTCTGGATACCTTGTGTGATTTTGGTCCTTATGGTTGACATTTTTTGTGGTTTTGGTCTACACCCAACCTAAAATGACCAATATACCCTTAAATAAATCTTTTTAATTTCTTTTATTTATTTTCTTATTATTTTGATTAAAAAAAGAAAAAAATATCATCCACCCACTCACTTACTCTCTCTCTCTCTCTCTCACTCTCTTTCTCACAACAGTACCATCATCGGTCCATCATCTCCCTTTGCTAATGCTTGCAGATAAGAACACCATCGACCAACATTCCTTTGAATCTCTCTCTCTCTCTCTCTTACTCTCTCTCTCTCTCTCTCTCTATTCTCTGTTTTGTGGTGTGGTCGAAAACTACCACCACCGTACCCCCTCCGTCATAGGGTTTTTCAGATCTTAATGCCCTAACTCTTGAAAGAATCGTGGTACCCTAGATCTAGAGAATACATGTCCCCCTGCATGTTCATCATCGTCATCTCGTTCACCTCTCTACTCCCTAAAACATGAATCAGATAAGAAAGATGTCGGACCACTGTCGCTTGTCGGACACTGCCACCTGTTAGACCACCACCGTCATCATACCACCACCACCTGTCGGATCTGCATCACCAAAAAAATCCCACCCACCCCACCCCAATTATCTCCCTCACTCTCTCTCTTTGTCTCTCTCCTTTAGATTTATGCAAATAATGAACATTATCGAAGAAGAGAACCAGTCAATCTCTTCTCGTCGACAATCATATGCGGTCAACCTCTACCCACTAACCACCATCTCAAACCACCTTTCATGTTTCATCTCCGACAACCACAAATTTTTATCTCTAAATAAAACTCTAAACTACACCAAACCAAAATCAAGAACAAACCTGCAACCTGCAACAAATATCAAAACCTGTAAATCTTTTCAGGTAAAAAATTTGCCCCCTTCGGATCCAAAAATCAGAAATGGTTCTAGAAATCAATTCCCCCGTCGACAAGGCGTCGATAAGTTAAAGGGGGACGAGAGAGGCGATGGGGGAGTTTGCCGACGGTGGAAGGCAATTGTAGATGCACCGATGATTTTGGAGGGTTTTCGATCAAGGTTATAGACGACAACCAAGTTTCTAGTAATTTGAACACAGGATGTAAATATGATCTTGTTATGCTCTATTACGCTTTCGAATTCTTTACAGAGTACAAT